ATTGATTTATTATTTATTTATTACAGGATGCAGATTTATTTATTTATATATTTAGGGTTTTATTTACTACAGGATGCAGATTTATTTATTATTTATTTGTTTAGGGATTTTTATATTACAGGATGCAGATTTATTTATTTATATATTTATTTATTTATTACAGGATTCAGGTTTATTTATGATTTATTTAGGGATTTATTTATTACAGGATGCAGATTTATTTATTGAGGGATTTATTTGTTACAGTATGCAGATTTATTTATTTATGTTTTTATTTTTTTATTTATTTATTACAGGAGGCAGATTTATTTTTTATTTATTTATTACAGGATGCATATTTTTGTCTCATTTATTTAGGGATTTATTTACTAAATGATGCAGATTTATTTATTTATGTATTTATTTATTTATATATTTAGGGATTTATTTACTACAGGATGCAGATATATGTATTATTATTTATTTATTTCCCTCTCTGTGCGTCTCCAGGTGCACCTGGACGCCCGGGGCACCCCCCTGCGGCGGGGGGGGCGGGGGGGGGGGGGGGGGGGGGGGTGGGCCCCCTGGGGGGGGGCCGGGGGGGGGGGGTCCGGGGGGGGGGGGGGGTCCGGGCCCGGGTCCTGCTGCAGAACTTCTCCATCCTGCAGCTGAGCCAGGCCCCCCCCCGCCCAGCTGCAGCCGCTGGTGGGCGCCGCCCGCGCCCAGAGGGTCCACGCCTTCTTCCACCGGAGCACCGGGCCCTGAGGGGTCAAAGGTCAACCCCCCGAACCCCTCAAACACACCAGATGTGCTCTGGACTGGGACTGTTTCTGTTGGTGATTTAAGATATTAAAGTGGTGTCATTTCAGGTCGTTATGTGGTGATTTCAAGTCGATGGATAGATGGATAGATAGATGGATGGATGGATAGATGGATAGATGGATAGATAGATGGATAGATAGATAGATAGATAGATAGATAGATAGATAGAGAGAGAGAGAGAGAGAGAGAGAGAGAGAGAGAGAGAGAGAGAGAGTAAAATTTCTGACCAACTGTCCACTGTACAAAATATACGTATTTTGTACAGTGGCCACATATGCTCTGGACTGGGACTGTTTCTGTTGGTGATTTAAGATATTAAAGTGGTTTCATTTCAGGTCGTTATGTAGTGAGTGAGTGAGTGAGTGAGTGAGTGAGTGAGTGAGTGAGTGAGAGAGAGAGAGAGAGATATTGACTTGAGTAAAAGTTGAAGTGTTCTTTCAACTCCATACTTAAGTGAAAGTACTGAAATACTCAATTTTATTTTTACTTGAGTATTGCAAGTAGAAGTACAAGTACTGTGTATATTAGTAAAAGGCAGTCCAAAGTTTGATAGATATTGTTTATATTATTTCAAACGTGTGAAAGGCCATAAAGGTGTTTACAAAAAACAGAAAATAAAACACAAATAAAACATCTCCAAAGGCCAGAGGGGCGAGTTAAGCCTGGTGGAGAAACTTAAGATGGAACAGAAACATCAACATGAAGCAGAGAGAGAGAGATCAAATTTCTGACCAACTGTCCACTGTACAAAATAGTTTATATCCATCCATTATCGTAACCTTTTATTCCCTAATGGGGTCGTGGGGAGAACTGGAGTCTATCCCAGTAGCCAATGGGGAGAGGCGGGGTCCCCAGTCCATCACAGGGACACACAGAGACACACAAGGACCAACAACCACACACACTCACACTAAGGGAAGTTTGGAGTCCAACAACCTAACATGCAGGTTTTTGGACGGTGGGAGGAAGCCGGAGAACCCGGAGAGAACCCACAGACACAGGAGAACATGCAGAACCACCCAGAAAGGTCCTGGTTCCCCCGGGGACCTGAACCCAGAACCCTCTGGTAGAAAGGTCCTGGTTCCCCGTCCTAAGCGGTAGACGGATTCCTTGTACTTTTGCCCATCGAATGCAAAGTGGTCAGAATATTTCTTTCCAAAGTCTTTGATTCACAGAGAAAGAAGAAACCAAAAACGAACAGTGAGATTGACCCAAAAAAACCCGGATGAAAGTGGCCTGAAGCTGGAAGATTGCGCCTTTATGACCTCCAAATAAACTATTTAATCGCATTTTTTCCTGTGAGAACACACTTGTTATCCACCTCTCACATGTGTTATAGAGCAGGAGGATTGAAATGGACTAAGACCACTTGTCCACCATTTTAAAATCCATCCATCCATCCATTATCAATACCGCTTATTCCCTGATGGGGTCGCGGGGGGAACTGGAGCCTATCCCAGTGGTCAACGGGCGAGAGGCAGGGTACACCCTGGACAGTCCGCCAGTCCATCGCAGGGCCACACAGAGACACACAAGGACAAACAACCACTCACACTCACATTCACTCCTAAGGGCAATTTCCCCAATCTCCAATCAGCCTAACATGCAGGTTTTTGGACTGTGGGAGGAAGCCGGAGAACCCGGAGAGAACCCACGCAGACACAGGGAGAACATGCAAACTCCACCCAGAAGGGCCCTGGTTCCCCCGGGGACTCCAACCCAGAACCCTCTGGTCCTGGTTCCCCCCGGGACTCCAACCCAGAACCCTCTGGTCCTGGTTCCCCCGGGGACTAGAACCCAGAACCCTCTGGCTTAAAGGTTCTGGTTCCCAGTCCTTTTTTTTGTGCCCATCAAATACAAAGTGGTCGGAATATTTCTTTCCAAAGTCTTTTGTTCACAGAATAAGAAGAAACAAAAAACGAACAGTGAGATTGACCCAAAAAACCCGGATGAAGCTGAAAGATGGCGCCTTTATGACCTCCAAATAAACAATTTAATCCCATTTTTTCCTGTGAGAACACACTAGTTACCCACCTCCACATGTGTTATAGAGCAGGATGATTGAAATGGACTAAAACCAGTTGTCCACCCTTTTAAAATCTAATTTAAACATAGAAAACATTAAAAAAAAAGCTTATTTAAGAGTGGCAGGAGCAGGTAGGATGGATTGATCCTCACCAGGGGGCGCTCTCATGCTTTCCCTGAAAGGAAGCAAATATTAAAATACAGAAAAATATTTATGTTAATATCTTATAGAAACGTGTAGTCTGTTGTAACTTTTGCTTGTTATTTTTTCATTGAGTATCACAGATAAACGTATATAAGTATCTTCAGATATGCGCGTAATGTTTACGTGGACATATTGGACATTTGGACATATTAAAGCTAAAAAATGAAAGCTAAAATATTTGTTTTACGGGGAAAAGTACGTTACTTTTTGATCACGTGGCTTTGTTTACGTGTTTTTCGTAAAGACTACGACTAAAAAATTCGTGTCATTTTTCTAGAAGAAGTTAAAATATTCAAATGGCCGTTTCTAATCGTCACTAAATCAACTTTTTAGTAGCCCTCCAGCGAACCAAAACGCTATCAAATCAAATAAAGCGCCAACTTTAACTTTTGTTATTTTTACGTACGTTTTTTTTCTTTACTAGGTGGGAATAAAGGTGTAATTTCCGACAGCAGCTGAATGCAGCTGAGATCATCTGTTGGGTGGAGATAAAAAAAAACAACAACTCAGAAACGCCATAAAACGCGCCTGTTTGACCTCATAATGAACACATAACCCAACTCTGAGACGTCCCATTTCACATTTACGTCTCATTTTGTGTAAAAAAAAACCCGATTATGTTTTCAAGAGGTAAAAATTTGAGGTTTAAATCTTAAAAGTATATTAAAAGTTGCTGAATAAGTGAAGAAACGTGAGCCATTTTCCACAGCTCTATATTTCTGGGGCGGATTATTGCCTCCGTGGGGCCTGATAACTCTCTTTAATGATAAGGAAGTGATGACGGACAACCTGAAACTTATTCAAACATGTTATGTCACCTTTAGGTTGACGCCCATATCGGTTGCTATTTTTTCTGAATTATACGCATTAATTATCAATATTTTTGTATTATTCGACAGAAATTAGTGTATATTTTTGGATTTTTTCTCTTCTTTTTGGAGCCATCGTGGTTTTTGCTCTGGACTGTTTACAAAGCAACAGGTGCTTTTTGACGTTGTGGTGCGTTTACGGACTTCTTACCAGTCTGTTTTTTTGCGTTAGAATATTGTTTTTCGGGTGGAAAATGTGTAATGTAATACAGAGTTGGCACATTTTGTTGTAAAACGACAAACAAGCATCGGTGATGTTATATATTTAGATGTTTTGTGTTTTTTTTAGCGTCGGTTTGCTGTTTTGAAAAAAGGCGCTGTGCGTATTTTACGCACGTAAAGGTCCGTGAAGGCGTCCCGGGTCCGTGAAGGCGTCCCGGGGCCCCGCCCCGCTGTCATCCCGATAGTCCTGGTCTGGGTGTGCACCTCCCCGGTCAAAGCTCCGGGTCAGCCACCGGGTATCATCTCCTCTTTTTTCCCGTGTTGGTTTCTTCTTTCTTTTTTCTTTTGCGCTTTTTTTTCCTTTTCTCCGGTTTTTTTTCCCTTTTTCTCCGGACACCACCCCCCCCTCTTTGGCCTGGATGTCTCCGTCCACGTCCCCGCGGTTCTTCACGGAGCGGGAGGTGGCCCGCCACCGGTCCCGGGACTCCTGCTGGGTGCTGCTGGGCTCCCGGGTGTACGACGTGACCGGTTTCCTGCGGATGCACCCGGGCGGGGAGGCTCTGATCCGGGGCCGGGCCGGGAGGGACGTGGCCCGGGACATGGAGGGCCCCCCGCACCGCCACTCCCCCAACGCGCGCCGCTGGATGGAGCAGTACTACATCGGGGAGCTGGACCGGGACGAGCAGGTACCGGG